GTAATAAGTAATAAGATATATATACTCAGAGTATAGTAGCTATAGATACCAATATTGATATTATACTAATAGACTCGGATAATAAACAATAAACAATAAATGACAAACAAATAAACAAACAAATTAAAAAATACAATATCTCTACAAATACTCTACAAAGAGCAAGACATACTAGTATATATATACTCGTATTATATACTCGAGCACATAAAACAACACTCAGGCTCAAGTGAGATAACAGTGATAAGATTGCAAGGCTCAGAAATATATATACGTATACGTATACGTAAAAACAAGGCCTAACTCAAAATAATATACCAAGTTGAAGGGTCCCAAGCTAAGAATCCGCACCAACTTCTCGTGGTATGGATGCATTTTTGATATTAAGACCAATACCAGAACCAATTTGGATCTCTCAGAGCGCGAGCAAGACCGAGACCAAGACCGAGACCAAGACCAAGACCAAGACCAAGACCAAGACCAAGACCAAGACCAAGACCAAGACCAAGACCAAGACCAAGACCAAGACCAAGACCAAGACCAAGACCAAGACCAAGACCAAGACCAAGACCAACACCAAGACCAAGACCAAGACCAAGACCAAGACCAACACCAAGACCAAGACAAACCTCAGCCTCAATCTCAACCTCAAGACAAAAACCAACCTCAGCCTCAATCTCAACCTCAAGACAAAAACCAACCTCAACCTCAAGACCAACACCAAATTGCACCTCTCTGAATAGCCTGACCTGGTTATATCATGACCATACCATACATAAATCGATCCGCAGGCCCGGACCGAATGGGCCGGGCGTACTTGTGGATACAATACTAGTACCAACAGTAACATTAACATTAACATTAACACCAACACTAACAACTTAAACCTCTCCTCTTCCCTTATCCCCTCATCCTCCCCACCTCTCCCTCAACCTACCCCCAACACAACACAACATACTACCTACCTACCTACGCTATCTAACTACACTACTCACCATATAACCATCCATGACTATAACTATGCATAGCATGCGACTACCGGTACTCGACCGCGATTGCGAAGTTATTAACAAGGGATCTCATTTAACCAGACCAGACCAGATTTGACCTCATCTAATCGGACCAGACCAGAACTAACCAGACCAGAACAGATTTGACCTAACCAGACCAGATCTAACCAGATCCAACCAGATCCAACCAGACCAGACCAGACCAGAACTAACCTGACCAACCAATCAACCAACCAACCAACCAACTCATCTATTAATTGACACTTTTCACTTGATTATTGTTAATTAGTTAATTAATTAGATAATTGATTGATTGGTTTATCAGTTAGTTGGTCAGCATTTGAAATTCGAAATAATATTATAGAACAAAATATGACATAACATGACAAAACAGGAGATATCAATCATATCACAGCAAAGAGAATTGCGAGCATATACTTAGTATACTGGAATAAATGAAATGAATATTCCACTATCAATACCACTCACCATATCATCACCCACCATCCATCCCCACAATCACTCACTCACCTCCAACCCCCCTCCCATTTCTAATCGCCTCCACAATCCTCTTTAAAACCTCTCTCGCCTGCTGCGGCTGTACTCTCCCCTCCCGATCCCCCCTCATCATATTCCCCAACAGAAAATTAATCTTCCCCTCTTTCCCCAATAGAATCTCCTCTACAACTTTCCCATCCTGTGCACATGTATTCCTAGCCAATTCCTCATATTCTTCCATGGACATATGTCGTAACCATAATTTCTCACTTTCGATTACATCCTCGACCGATATTTCTCTTCCCATTTGTCCATTTTCGAATAGAATTTTCAAGACTTTCTTGCCGGTTTTCCCTGTAATTTTTCCGTCATCGAGATAATGTATGAGATGAGCCATGTGAGAATGTGAGATTATGCAAGATCCAGAACTTGTGAATTTCAATGGGTTTTCCTCCTCTGCGTAATCCGATATCAGAGCCCCTAACTCATGTAAAACCCAATTGCTGGCCAGTTTCCCCAATTTGGTTTGCAGATCGGGTTTCAATAATGTCAAAACATCCACGACATTTCGAAAATATTCCACTCGTCCTCCACCATTCAAAGACACTAGATCGATGGCATCTTTGACCGTGATACCGTACTGGGATTGTAGGATTCCCAATTCTGCATCGGGTAGGATGCCGAGTGTATCACCGAGATGTTGTGTAAGTTTCTCATCGATAACCACAGGGGCAAGATCTGGATCTGGCATGTATCTATAATCCACCTCTCCCTCTTTTCCTCGAAGTCTTCGTGTCTCCGTACTTCCAATTGCGTATCCTCTGGTCTCTCCTTCAATGGCCCCTCCTTCTTCGAGAACCGAGATCTGCCTATCGCGTTCGGCTATAATGGCATCTTCAATAGATTTAAAACTGCTCAAATTCTTAATCTCTGTTCTTTGACCTAGTCCTTGAACGCCAGCATATTCATGACCCAATCCTTCTTTGGTTCTCCTTCTCACAGAAACATTAACATCTGCCCTCAATCCACCAGATTGCATACCAAGAACACAAGCATCAACCGCGTTCAACAACATTTGTACCTTTCGGACAAATGCAGCTGCGGTGCTAGGATGATGTATCTGCGGTAGTGATATGATCTCAATCAATGGTAAACCAACTCGATTAAAATCCACCAAATGTATATCCCCAGGTTGCGAGATGGTTTTCGCCGTATCTTGTTCCATTTGCACTTGTTTAATTCCTATCCGGATTTCTTCTCCATCTTCCTTTGCGATTCCATCATGCGCATACAACATGAGATATCCATCCTTTGCAAATGGTTCGTGGTATTGAGTGATTTGATACCCCGCAGGTTGATCCCAATGGAAATAATGTTTGCGATCAAATCGACTCGTCCTTTGAATATTGCAATTCAAAGCCAATGCTCCTCGAATCGCAGGTATGAGAGTTTCCTTTTGGAATATTGGCATTGAGCCCGGTAAGGCGACATCAAAATATGCGACATGTGTATTGGGTGTATCGTTAATCGTTGAGGCTGCGTAGGAGAAAAGTTTTCGTTCGGTATTTAATTGTGCATGTATTTCGATTCCCACCGTCAACTCCCATTCGTCGAGACTTTGTAACTTTTCTGTATTTCGCCCTGTTCCTTCATCCTTCAATTGTTTGCGCACTGCCTTGAAGGAATTTTGGATGCCGTGATTCGTGGGGGATGAAGATGCAGATGTCGATCCTGTGTCAGTGTGTAATTCTTGTATCGCCCGAGATCTGGAGGGGTGGTTGATTGATGGTAAATGGCTAGCACCAATAGCTCTCTGATGAAGACAGCCTGTTGAATTGATCTGGCCCCCAAGCAGGTATCTGCGAAGAACGAGTGGTGAGAAACGTGTCATTGTAGTTAGTATAAGTTCCAATTGGTCTCGCGGAGCCTCTGGAAAGAAGGTGGATAAGGTATATTTTTGAGATTTACGGAAAGGTCGGTGATCAGAGGGTCGGTCAGGCAGAGTTTCGGGCTCATGCATGTAATGAGATTCTCTTGTCAATCGAGCACCCGATTCGAGGAGGAGAAGGATATGATCAACTACTGGATGGATTATGATTCTATCTTGTTTGTGATGCACATAATATGATATCCCGTAAGGCGAAGTGAGTAATGTTGATCGTCTTGTAGTATGTGTTGAAGAAGTATTGGTTATACAAAGATTAGAATATTCTATTTTGTGTAATAGAATATCAATAATGCAAACAACTGCATCAATAATACCCTGGAGTTATCATATGTTTTGGATTAAAGGGCAATCCTGGTCCTGCAACAATATAATTATATATATATATATATAGTATTCCCGGGGATAGATAGCTGGTTACCCATTGAGCTAATAACCATCTAATACACGCCTCATCATCATACTTGTACCCCATGGTCATTCATCCTCTGATCACAAAACCCATCAATCCCCCTTGTTCAATTCTCATATCCCCCCTTAACTCTTAACTCTCAGACCTTTTACCCTCCCTGACCTCTTTACCCTCTTTGACCCTTGTATCTATATCCATTATTGAATCTTTTCTTAGATGTTGGTGTTTCCATCCTTGGGAATCATTTGAAACATCCATCTCTCCCTCTCCTCTCCCCTCATTCACGAGACGGCTGAATAACTCACTCAAGACACACACATACACACACACATACCCACCACCCATCTAAGCCCTCCCCTCATTCATTATCAATTACTCAATTTAAACAGAGCGCACGCCAGTTTTATACGGGTTGTGTTATACATACATAGTTAAGGTTTGGAATTGATATACATGCAATAATAGCATACTTGATTTCATTTCATACTTCCCTCTCTTCTCTTCTCTTCTCTTCTTCTTCTTCTTCTCTTCTTCTTCTTCTTCTTCTTCTTCTTCTCTAGTTCTTCTTCTCTTCCCACTTGTCTCCCCTCCATTATCATGTTTGCTATTATTAAATATTTTAATCCATTTGTTGTATCAATTCATTCCATCATTTTATCTTCATTGGGCATTGATAGCTTACTATTATCGGATATCAATACACCACCATAGCGACCCAAATTATCAAGGTAAGCCCTGTCAAAAACTGAAATATATTGATTTTTTTGCTTTTTTCCCTCTTATCTTTGAATGATAATGTTAATCTGATACATGTGCAATCTGTAGATTCCTGATTAAATATGGCTACAAGATACAAAGTACCAACAGTTGAATCAATCATCGAAGATTCCGAAGATGAATCAAGGGACGATGTAAGGGGTACCGAACAAGAATGCCAGTCGAGAATAACTCGTCGTCAACATCGCTCCATTCACGATTCTAACATGTCGTCTTCACCTACAAAAGCAAATATTAGTAGGGAAAGAGATAGATCGCGAAGGATGCATAAATCTACTCCAAGTGGTGGTGGTGGCAGACATTCTGCATCAAAACCGAAACCCAAGAGTACAAATGCGAAGCGCCCAAGTGGATCATCTTTAAAAGGAAATGAAATCGAGGGGCAACGTCTTCGTCAAAAGCCTACACAACCGAACCGAAATTCAAGCTCATCATCATCATCGTCATCAAGTTCTTCCGATGAAGAGGAACATGTACCTGATCACAAATCGATCCTTGCAGCTTCAAGAGCAAAATTAACATCACCATCCATGATATCGAACTTAACATCTTTAACTTCGACAACAAATAAATCTAGTAGCTCAAGTGGTAGTAATTCGACGGTAACTCAAGCTTCTATCACGAAACGATCATCTTTCGGAAATGAAAATGAGTCTAAAATAGAGCCTCTATCACCAGCTGTACCATCTCCTCCAAATGTATTTCTATATTTGCAACAAGACTCTGATGGAGAAGAGGTAGAAGAGGTAGAAGAGGTAGAAGAGGGGGAGGAGGAAGAGGGGGAGGAGGAAGAGGATACATCCAAGTGGTTAATTGACCATGGCGATAAAGACTTCACCTCGGTATCACGTCCACATACACCCGAAGAGCATCCCAGTGGTCCTTCTTCCATATCGAGTAGTCTCCACAGCGATGATTTCTCGGCGCCAGAAGCCGATGTCGATACAGACAGGAGTACATCCCCAGAAAGAAGTGTTCGTGGCCGAGAAAACTTGCGAGTTACCACACATTCGAAAGATGCATCAATCAAGTTAGCATCTCAAATGGCAGCCGCTAATCAACGACAAAATTATTACGGAGCAGCCCCATCATTCGGACCGCCAAAAACACATCATCGCACAGATAGTAATCCACTCTCTCCATCCGATCTTGAAACACCCCGCAATCAACATCCCCCCAAACATGTACTCCCTTCTCAGATTGATCCTAACGTTACAGGCTACGAACTTCTCGCCTCTCGCTTATCGTCATCTTCCCGTTCCGGTTCCGATACGGTAGTCGAAGATCGTATCAAACCCATGTATCGAAAATTTGAAGCTTTGAATCATCGTCTTCTCCTTCATCTTCAAGATGAAGTAAGCGAACTCGAAGAACAATTACAGAGATTAGATAAGGCCGATACGGAATCCAGAAGATTACGACATACTGGTAATGGTAATGTAGGAATAGATGTAGTCCCTGCATCGAGAAGAGCGAGTGAACAAATGGGTGGTGATTTACAGTGGCATAAAACGGATGTATTGGGGAGGATTGGTTATAAACTGGCTCAATACAGTCAGCAACCCCAACTACCCCAACTTTCCCCACACCCCCATACTTCCTTATACTAATCCCTTTTAGATCAAACTTTAACCTCCTTTCACTCTCTTCAATCTCTCCCTTCCGCCTCCCAACCAGATATTACCCATTATCGAGAATACCTTCAAAACGCGCGTCCTATAACCGAAGTAGAAACAAGATTTCTAGATCCAAAAGTTGAGGATGATTTAGTTTCTGTCGCTTCAAGTTCTTCGCGTTCCAGGAGTCAAGGTCGACATCAAATTGGTGATCAACTTATCCGTCATAGACGTTCAGTGCCATCATCTTCAATATCAGATAGCAGTGACGAAGACCATCCGATTGAAATAACACCCACAAGTACTACAATCGACTCACCCCTCCATTCACTTCGTCCAACGGAGAGACATCTTGCGGTGGGCGGCAATACCCACACGGAAGATTTCCCAACCCTGGCATTTGCAATCGCCATCTCAATCCTACTCCCAATCTTAACATTCGCCACGATCCCAACTTTTCTAGGTAGAATGACGGTGGTTTGCTTGGTAGGCTCGGGGATTGTGGGTGCCCTGGTGCAAAGTGGTTTTATGGATGTAAGTGATGTGATTGGAAGTATCAGGGGTGCGAGGGGCTCACAGAGAAGAGAGGGGCTGGTTTGTGTGGGGGTTTACTTGGGGTGTATGGGGGTACTTGCTGGTGTGGTTGGGTAGGATGTTTGTGTGTATATTTGTGAGAAGGAGGAGATGAAGATGCTGTGATGCCTTTTATTCGGTCCAGCTTGGTTATTTCGTTCGAGATGCAACGCAATTACGAGACGAGGAGTTTAGTAGGGGAAAGAAAGAAAGGAAGGAACGAAGAGAAGTTGGAGGAACGACAATAAAGTCTTGGGATGAAGGAGTTGAGTTGGTTTACGTCACAGTTCTTTCTGTTCTTCAAGTTTGTTTCGAATAGGGCTTGGACTGGGACTCGGGCTGGGACTTGAACGGGACTTGGATCGGGGCTTTGGCTTTGACTAGCATTGCTTTGCTTTCACGTATATATGATACCCCTTTTTGTTTTCATTTTTGTTTTCATTTTCATTTTCTTGATTCTTTTGCTTTCACTGTTTGCTTGCTTCACTCAATTAGCGCTGAGTGAAATTGGAAGTGGAAGTGGAAGTGGAAGTGGAAGTGGAAGTGGAAGTGGAATTTGATGGTATTTATGCAGGTATGGTATTTATGGGGTGGATGTTTTATGTTTTATGTATGGGATTTAAGTTGGTTAGTTTTATTTGGTGCGATTTTTTTGTATGGCAGTATGTATGTATAAGGAGGGGAGAGGGGGGAGGAAGGGAGGGAGAGAGGGAGATTGTGTATTATGTTTTATGTTCGTTGGTTTATGTTTTATGTTTTAGTATTAGTATGAATTGTATGTTTGGGATGGATGGATGGATGCTGGATCTTAGTGATGGGGTATGGAATTTTGGGATTTTGGATTTTGGGATTTGGGATTTGGGATTTGGGATTTGAGGTTTGGGATTGCAATAGGATTGAGGAGGGGGGTGGGGGATGGGTATGTAGTATGGATGGGTATGCATGGGTATGGGCGGTGCAGTTGTGGGATAGGGAATTTTTGGATATGGAATGCGCGGATATGGAATGCATGGGATATGGAATGCATGGGATAGGATAGAATAGGATAGCATGGGATAGTTTAAATAGGGATGAATAAGCAAAATACAAAATTGTATTGTATTTTAGTATTAGTATCAACTACTTTTCGGGGTAGGGGTATTAGTATTAGTCTTAGTGTTTGTGTTAGTATTAGTGTTAGTATTAGTATTAGTATTACGAGTACTAGTAACTATATCGGAATCAATCATGTATGTACTCGAGTATTGTATTGTATTAGTATTAGTAGTATTTATATTGTATTCATATTCATATACTCAGTAGTATCTACATTTACATACTCGAGTACGATAGTGTAATTGAACACTCAGGCTATATTTAATAGATGATGATGATAATAATAATAATAATAATCTTACCCGAGTACTAGTAGTGTAATTTTAAACTCAAATTTAAACGCTTCATTTTTCCTATATACTATACAATAGCTGATTCTAATTATCTACCAACTGTTTTTTTATTTTCTTATTCTTTCTACACTTTTGCACCATTTCCCTCATTTCCTTCATATCCACACTTTTCCACCGTTTCCGTCTTTTACTTCCTTTACTTCCACCATTTCCTCCTTTACTTCATCACTTACTTCATCACACCCCACACATCCCACACCTCACACCCCTCACTCACCCCTATAACTTACACCATAACTATAACCCTCACTCAAACTTTCAGACTTTCAAACATTCAAAATAAATCAATCAATCGTTCAATCAACCAACCAAATCAAATTAACTATCAAAACTAACCACCATGTGAAATATCTCTAATCCCGCACCACACCACATCGCACTGCCCTACTCCACGCCATAACACCTCAGGCGCACCACCAATACATATATGTATATATGCCTACCAACCTCATGGAGGAAGGATATAAGATAAGGTTCAATCTCAGCCCAGGCCACCCTAGTATATCCCATCCCATCCCAAATTTGTTATTATAGCAAAAATTGCCATGCAAAGAAACCCATTGGTCCGTCCATCCGTCCATGTATCCATCCATCCAAGAAATTCAAATGTCAATCCTTCAATCCATCCCTCATATTGTTTCTCCACCCCCACCCTCATCCATCTCCCCAGTCCCAATCCCATTCCCATTCCCATTCCCATTTCCATATCCATTCCCATGTACATACCCATACCCATAACCATAACCATTCCCATTCCCATTTCTAACCCACCTTCCCCCTCCCCCCTCCCGTCCCTCCTCAATATTAGTAATCCCACTAAGCCCGCCCTCATTAAACCCCAAACTCCTCGCGTGAGCCGGCTGACTCTGTATCGTCGTTCTCCCCCCAAATCGAACCGGAACCGCCGTGTCACTCATCATAGACATTCCATCAATAATCATTCCCCACGACGTATTCTCTTGTCCATTACTTCCATTATTACCACTGCCCCCAGCACCCCAAATCTCCGCACTCTCCATACTCCCCGCACTACCCGCACTACCCGCACTACCCGCACTCCCCCTCGACACCGATCTCTTCAGTATTTTACTCGATCCCGCGGTTTGGCTCGTCGCATCCCCATTTTCAGGACTGATAATTGGTTTCGGTGCTATGGACTGATTTTGCGACAATTCATTCGGCACCGGACTAGATTGAAGTGGGGAATTGGATTTTTTACTCGATTCATCACCATTCTTGCTACGTTTAGAAGCGCGGGAAGGGATGCGACCTTGCTGAACATTTAGAAGATATGAAATTAGTGTCGTGTGCCGTTTAAGTAATGCGAGTGAGATGAACAGAATACAAACTAAGAACAATCATAGAGCAAAGCAGGCGTAAAGCAGCGACGTACTTGATGAATCTCCACGCATTGTGAAAGCGAATAATAGCGAAAAAGGCACCTTGACCCGCCATTGATTTTGGAATTATCGACTGAGAACTTCGATATCTTTTCCCCGGTTTGAACACCGAATAACCGTAAAGTGAAGCACGACTTTTTCTTCTTCAACAAATTCAACTTCAAGACGTGGAGGATGACGAATCAAAAGCTTGCTCAGCCGAAAGCGTGGCTTCAGAACCATCACGACTTACCTCTTTCGCCCATCTCAATCCGCAACTATTGCATAAATCTCGATTTCCGCTCGGTCCTCTTCTCCATTCCGGAGTACTTTTAGTATGGCAATTAACACAATCTCGTTGAGAGCTACCGGCTCCCTTTCTTCTCTTTCGTTTCTTTTGGGCAGATAAAAGGGTCGCCAATTCTTCTGCGAGCAGTCGATTAGTTCTTTCCATTTGTCGGAGTTCAAACTGCCAGCTTGTACAGCGTGTTGTTTTTAGTTCGTCAAATATGTTATCCTCGGATGCTAAGGCTTCATCTTGACATCCAATTGGAAGTCCACAGCCACCTGGTTGTGTAATGGGTGGAGCTGTATTACCAGAGCCTGGTGTCATGGACTCAGTCAAGGGAGAAAGACTTGAAGGATGACTTGAGGGTGTTCCTTCTGGACCATGAGTATCTGAATTATTCTTGGGACTCACGACCATTGATTTACCGGGAAGGGTAGTACCTTTAGCTCCAGTGGCTGCAGCAACATGTCGAGGAGACGTTTTAGGGAATCGAGTCTGGGCGACAAGAAATGTAGGTTTATGTCCCTCCGATGCATCGCCAGGATATAGTGTCGTTTCAACTTGCAAAACAACACCACGTTTGTTGGAAATGTCATGTCGATGACTAACAATCTTTCCCGTTCTCGCCTTTTCAAGAGCCCGACCGAACTCAACCTTGGATCCAGAACGCATCACTGCTTGGAAGCTTGTACCAATAAGATCCTCTGGCGTTCGATCTAAGAGCGATTTAACGTGTGATGAAACGAACAGGAACATGCCCGATGTTGATAATTTCGAAAATATTTCAGTCTCACCAAAGCCTTCCGATCGAGTCAGGCTACTCCGAGCCAATGCATATACCGGTCTTACTCTACCGACCAGAATGATGCACTTTCGGCCTTTGCCTTGCTCTACACATAACGAGCCATGACTGTCAAACCATGTATAGCCACTGTTCTTCCGACGAATGCGATATACCACATTAACAGGATTCCCTTGTGATGTTTCCTTCAATTCTCGAGTGACAGGAACTATATCACTAGGATGACACACCGATGAGAGTGATGTTCCCATTAACTCAGATGAATCGTATTCCAAGACTTGACGACACGATGGTGAGAGGTAGAGGAATAAGCCTTTCAGAGAAAGAACATGAATAACATCATCGGCATTTTCTAAAAGCACCTTATCCCACATTCTCTTGTTAAGCTCTGGATCGCTTCCGTTGTCATATGAGGCTAATACCGAGCTGACATCATCACGACTAATCGTTTGACCAGCATCGGCTAAGGTAGGGAGTTGTTGAGGCGGATGCCAAACATATCGTGGTAATGTGCCTTGCTTGTAATTCATCGTGTAATTCCCACCAGCCGCGTCACTGACACTATTGGGAGTCGCCACCACATCAACCTGAAATCCAACCACCAGAGAAAGTGTAGGATCATTATCATCTGCAGGAACTGGAATCATCGTTAGAAGATTCATAAATGGCTGACCACCTTTCCGATAGTTGATGATGGCCTGTTGAGTTTCCGTTCTTGTATCTATGGCTTTCTTGAGTTCATAAACCTTAGCATTCTCGGTGTTTACTCTACGTTCACCTGCTTGGATTTTACCCTCAGGCGATTGAAGGAATCGACAATTTCTCCCCAACACTTCATGTCTTGAATACCCGGTAAGATTCTCGAACACTTCAGACACATATACTATAGGACAATCCGGCTCTCTAAGATCGCAGACAACAAATGCACACGATAAATCGACGGCACCTATGTCAACGACTGGATTCTTCCTGGTGGCCACTCTCATCAATATTGAAAGCATGTCAAACCCAGAGCCAGAATATATATTGACCTGAGCTTCTTTTCTGCTGAGGGCGGTAGGAGGGGTGTCTGTGGGGGTGGGTATCGATGATAAGCTAGCAGGAATTATAGTCGTGCTTGAAGTTCGACTTAAAACACCCGCAGGTACATTTGAGGCGGTTGGAGAGTTGTAATCATTTGCGCTCTGAGATCTGCCCGTGTTGTTTGATGGTTGGTCCATGATACTACCAAGACTGGATCTCGATTGCATCGCTTCGTTATTCTCATCATTCATGTTTCCAGACATCGTTCTCAGCTCGTCATGATCCATCATGAATTCCGAATCCATAGGATCGTTCCGGTACATTGTGGGGGAATAGCTATTGTTCCCATACATGCCCATGGACGAATCTCGAGACATACCATCCATCGGCAAGGCGTAACTCATCATTTCAGGCACCATTTCACTCGTATATACAGGAAATCCTACATTTGTGTCCATAGCCATTGGACTGGGTTGCACAGAGTTTAGATACCCCATCTGCGACATTTGCATATTCATATTGGCCCCCATGTCTCCGAAATTTATGCCCATACCCAATTCATCTATCGATCGTCGCCGCACGAGTTGCATTTCTTGAGCAGGTGCTGGGCTTTCAAATTCAAAGGCGTTCAGACCCTCAAATGTGGAAGATCTGCGATCGTGATCTGGCGAAAAGGTTTGCGAGTAACCCTGCCGCCGTTGTAACTCGTGATTAATTTGCAAATTGAGATCGTCCATGCCATAGTTACCGCCCATCACATTGTTCATGTTCATCGAATTACTATTAGGGTGTAGAGATGGCTGCTGTTGCTGTTGCTGTTGTTGTTGTAGTTGTTGTTGTAGTAGTTGTTGTTGTTGCTGCTGTTGTTGTTGAGGCTGCGACATGTTCATAGACCTAGAATGCGATCTCCTTGCAGCGACCTGCCGTTGCAGGTCCGCTTGCGTTATTGCTGAATTAAAGAAGTTATTATTCATGATGCCAGCATCTGCTATTTTGATCGTCGTGGTTATGGTCGTGGTCGTATGCGTAGTCGTAGTAGTAGTTGTAGTCGAATTCGATTCCGAATGAAACTTGCTGTGAAAGTCAATCCTCCGCGCTTTATCAAGTCTCCGCTCTGTCAAATCTTCAAGCTGTCAAAGAAAGGCTTCGTAGTGTTGTCGTATATCTATATTGTATTAATTAAGTATGCGCCTCAGTCCTTGCCATAACTTTTCTCGGGTTGCAATCATCAACAACCATCAAACATGCAGTCGGCCGTCGAATGCACTCGTTCGGAAGATTTTATTTTTATTTTAGAACTTGGGGGGTACTTTTTGCTTGCCTTCGGAAGGAAAATGGAAAAACTGCGGGGAACGGAGGACTTGTCGATGGATTTTGCCGATAGTTGTAAATAGATTACTAGCGAAGCAGCTACTAGTATCTATATAATGTTTTTATATATATATAGAATGAGTAATAGTATCATATATAAATTTGATTGTTAGAAGTCGTTTATTACTTTCTTTTGGAAATAAAGTATTATTAATTAATTAATATTATATAAAACTAATTATATATATATAATGAATTATATTATATATAGTCAAGTATAAATAGATCTCCTATTCTATTCTAGTCCCTTTTAGATCATTGGTCTAATAGTAAAGTACTTTACTATATTTCATTATAATGAATCCCTAACTCTAAAAGCGTTTAATATCTGAATATTATTAGTTAGTTCATTTGTCGTTTATAATGCTATTTTTAAATAAGGCAATAATCAATCCTAGCGGGTGGAGGCTTTATAATTAACTAAATATAGATTTATAATATTACTATTCTACTAATCAATCATAATGATAATCCTAGTGCAATTATATAATCAAATACTGTATTATAAAAGTATTAGAATAGACATTTATTACTATACGATATTATTCTTTGCTTATTTATTGAAATGGAGAGAGATGATTGGTTCGAGAGATTTTGTCTATAAACGGGGGGGATATATAATGAATTATATTATATATAGTCAAGTACGAATAGATCTTCTAATTTATTTTAGTCCCTTTTGAGTTATTCGTCTAGTAGTAAAGTGCTTCACTATATTCCGTTAC